TCAAAGGCTCGTATTGAGAGAACCATGGTTTGGATTCGCTTTCCAAATCTTGGCACTAGCGTCTACTGTTGGAAAACCTTTAAAAGTGGACACCATGACGATGGACGTTGTTCGGGGATGTTTTGCTCAAATTTGTGTGGAATTGGAACTCGATCGTCCAGTAGTGGGTAAAGTTTGGTTCCGTAATCATTGGTTTAAAGTGGAATATGAGGGCCTCCACCTCTTGTGTTCAAATTGTGGGTGTTATGGCCACTTGTCAAGAGCATGCTCACACAGAGCAGTTACTGACCAGGTGACGACTAATTGAGGAGGAGGTAGAGATGGTAGTGGAGACTCGGACGAGAATTTAAGGGGTATATCCTATGTGGTTCATTTTATTTTTACTTATTTTTATCTATGTTACTGGTAGACATTAAGATCTTGGCTTGGAATGTTCATGGAACAGCTAACAAACGCTGTCAGCGCACCTTCAAAATTTGTTGAGTTCTTTGCATCCTACATTATTATTTCTTTTTGAAACTTATACCACTTTTGAAAACTTGGCTTCTTTTTGGAGGAAGGAGGGGTATGAGGAAGTTGTAGTAGAAGAGGCTCATGGTCATGCTGGAGGTATTTGGGCCTTAGTCCAAGCTAACTGTAATTGTAATATTTAGCTTCTTGATTCTGGCTCGCAAGTTATTTCATTTCTTATTTCAAAAGGTGATCAAATTTTTATTTGCTCTGGTGTATATGAGAGTCCATTTATTGCCCGAAGATGTATTCTTTGGACCTATCTGTCACAGTTGAGGAGTTTATTTCAGTTACCTTGGGTTCTCTTGGGTGATTTTAATGATATTTTATTTGGGCATGAACAACGTGGTGGTAATTTCTCAAATGCTCGTGCTTCAGAATTTCAAACCATGTTGGATAATTGTGATCTTTTAGATCTTGGTTACTTTGGTAACACGTATTCTTGGTGTCCCAACCTAAAAATTTTTGATCTCACGACTAATGGTTTAGACATCCTTTATTAAAATCTCATTAATTAAGGAAAGCTCGAACACCAGACTAATCCTTAATTAATGATTTTGATAATAGGTTCTTGGAGTTGCCACCAATGTTTTACTCAAAACATTGGAAAAAGAAAAGGTTTTTAAAAATTCAATAATGGCCTTGAAAACTAGAATTGGGTTCGGGAGTCGGTTACGTGTATATTAAGCACCCCTGCAACGCCATCAATTGGTACCCTATGATGAAGTTAATGTGATAAGAAATAATAAATTAAATATTAGATCCCCTTTATGAATTACTATTTACATGCTTGAAATTTAAATTACACAGTTGACCTTAAAATGTCTACATGATTGTTTTTGTTATAACAATGTATCTTAAAAATAAGAAATAAAAGAGAGACAAGAAGATTAAATGAAATACCTCGTGGCAAGCTTTTTTAAATCTTCAAATATAAAAAATTTAGGTACTTTGTGGCAACCTTTCACACTACAATTGTCTCACAATACTCAAGAAATACAATAGGAGAGAGAGAGATAAATTTTGAGCTCTAAAGAGTTCTGAACGAAATTTTGGGGGCTGAGAACTGTGCCCAAGCTGTCTATTTATAGGCATCAGAAGAGTTTCCAAAACGGCCTTTTCCAAAACCAGAACGGCCCGTTCCAAAACCAGAACGGCCCGTTCCAAAATCAGAACGGCTCATTCTGGATTTGAACGTTGTGTGTAAATTTTGTAACTGGAATGGCCCATTCTGAAATTGGAATGACCCGTTCCAGAAGTGAGATTAACAAACAATTGCCTAAACTGGAACGACCGTTTCAAACAAGAGTTTTTAGGCCATTATAATAACTTGGAATGGCCCGTTCCAGTTTAGGAATGGCTCATTCTAGTTAAGGTTTTAGCCCTTTTTTAAGGAGTTGGGAACGACCCGTTCCAATCTTGGAATGACCCGTTCCAATTTAGGAACAGCCAGTTCCAAACTAGGGTTTTAGGCCCTTTTAGGAACTTGGAACAACCCGTTCCGATTTTGGAACAGCCCGTTCTAGGTTTCTAAAACCAGCTTGTTTGGGCCTTTGGGCCTTCTATTGTCATGTCTTGTTGTTTGTACACCCCCGGACAAAATTGGGTGTATACACTTGGCAACGTCCTTCTGTGCGGGGAAGACTGATTTCTAGACGTTGGGACAGGGCGTTGGGAAATCAAAGTTGGAGAGTTCGTTTCCCAGAAGAAACTTTGGAGGTGTTAACTCGGCTCCATTCTAATCATAATCCCATTCTTCTACGTTGTAGTCTTGTCCAACGTAGACGTGGTGTTCGACTTTTCCGCTTTGAGGCGGCATGGGCTACTCATGATGGGTCCAATGACATTGTGAAGCTTGCTTGGTGTGGTGAGGGAGGAAATGTTTTAAATGCTCTTCAAGCCTCTCGAGAAGAATCTATCAAGTTCAACATACAGTGTTTGGTAATATTTTTAGAAGAAAAAAGTCCTTGGAAGCTAGAATCAAGGGGGTCCAAAAAGCATTGGAGAATGTGGATTCTGCTAGTCTTATCCGTCTGCAAGGGGAACTGTTACAAGAGTATAATTCTATATTGCTACAGGAGGAAATTCATTGGTTCCAAAAGTCTAGGGAACAATGGATAAAGTTTGGCAACAAAAACACAACTTTTTTTTTCATACTCAAATTGTTATTAGAAGACGAAGAAACCATGTGAGTGGACTTTTTCTTCCTAATGGGGAATGGTGCTCTGATAATAATTTGTTGGAACATGAGGCCTCTTTGTATTTCAAAAAGATTTTCTACATGAGGAAAGCTACAGGGGAGTCCATTATTACTCCGAACATGCCTACTCTTTCAGATGATAATAGAAATTTTCTTGTAGCTCCGGTGACAAAGGAGGAGGTATTCAAAGCTCTTGCGCGTATGGAATCTTTCAAGGCACTTGGGCCAGATGGATTTCAACCAATTTTCTTCAAATTGTATTGGCACGTTGTAGGTGATGATGTATGGAATTTGATCAACGAGGCTTTCCAAACAGGTATTATTGATGCTAAATTGGCAGAAACTTTAATTGTTTTGATTCCTAAAGTGGATGCTCCTCTATCATACAAGGATTTTCAACTCATTAGCTTGTGCAATATTGTTTATAACCTAATCACAAAAGTGCTAGTGAATAGATTGCGTGTTTTTATAGGAAATATTGTGAGCCCTCTCCAAAGCAACTTTATTCCGGGGAGAAGTACAATCGATAATGCAATTATTCTACAGGAAGTACTTCATTTATGAACAAGTCTAAAAGGAAGAAAAAGGGACCTTATTTTTAAGCTTGACCTTGAGAAGGCTTATGATCGCATTGATTGGGAGTTTTTAAATAATGTCCTATAAGATTTTAGTTTTCCAGATATCACTTGTAGGTTAATTATGAATTATGTTTCCTCATCATCTTTGCATCTTCATTGGAATGGAGTTAAGACAACGACTATTATTCCTAGAAGAGGTCTTAGACAAGGGGACCTTTTATCCCCTTATTTATTTGTGTTGTGCATGGAAAAATTAGGCCTGTTAATTAATCAAGCAGTGTATGATCGTCGTTGGAAACCTATCAAGATTCAAAAGAAGGCCCCTCAATGTCCCATTTGTTCTTCGCGGATAATTGCCTTCTTTTTATTAAGGCTCGTAATTCTCAAGTTAGATTGATGCAGATTATTATTGATGAATTTTGTGCTAAATCTGGCTTGAAAATTAACATTGAAAAATCAAGGGCTTTTGCTTCTAAGACAATTACTTCGGCCAAGAAAGCTAGACTTCAAGGAATATCTAACATTCGGTTCACTACTTCTTTATACAAATACCTTGGTTTCCCCATCTTTTATGGGAGGCCTAGGAGGGAAGTTTACCAACTAGTTCTGGATAGAATTAGTGTCAAAGTTAGTACTTGTAAAGGCAAATTACTATCCAAGCCAGGTATAGTCACTTTGGCAAATGCTATCATTTCTTCTATACCCACTTTTTCATGCAGTTGTATTGGTTTCCTAATTATATTTGTTCTACTCTTGATCAAATGAGCCGTGATTTCATCTGGAAGGGATTATCTGGAAAGGGTATTAATTTGGTGGCCTGGACAAAAATTACTAGACGTCGAAGAAAAGGAGGATTGAATGCCAGAATTTCTAGATTCAAAAATGTGTCCTTGTTAGGGAAGTTGGTTTGGGACCTGCTTCAAGGTCATGACAAGTTCTGGGTCTCAATTATGTCAAAGAAGTATTTGTTATCTGACAGAGGAAGCAGGGGTCCTATGTTTGGCGCTCCATTATAAAAGCCCGTGACATCCTTCTTCGGGGTTTTAAGCTGAAGTTAGGGAGTGGGGAGGTCAGTTTCTGGTTTGAGGACTGGACAAGGAAGGGCCCACTTTGTGTGAAAGTTTGGCCGATGGATGTACATGACTTGGAAATGAGAGTTCGGGATGTCTAGAATGAGGAGCGTTGGAATTTGAGTTCTTTTTGGGCTTCTCTTTTAGAGGACTTCAATCACGTGCTTCTTAAACAAACTTTGTTTTTGTCTGAAGGATTACATGATTGCATTGTTTGGCAACCTGATTTAACAGGTAATTACTCAGCAAAAAGTGGATATAATTGGCTTACATTTGAAACCCGAACAACAACCAAGTGAAGGCAAGTGGTTATGAATGTGGAAGATTTATGCACCTGAGAATATCAAGTTATATCTCTGGTTAGCTTGGCATGATTTTATTCCCACCTCCTCTTTACTATTTAAGCGACACATCATGGGAAATGATAAGTGTAGATAGTGTGGCAGCCAAGAAGAGACAGTAATGCATTGTTTCAGGGACTATCATGAGGTGCAAGAAGTGTGGCAGATTTTACAGTTTGTAAGTCGTGACACATTTTATCTGATAAATGATTTTAAGATGTAGGTCATTCATGGAGTTAAGTTGGGAGGCGCATTATTTTTATCTACAATTTGGGAGATTTGGTCGGGTAGGAATCGATTGATGTTTGAAGGCAGTAAAACAAAGGCATGGCAGGTAGCGGTGACTGCCAAATCACTTTCAGAGGCTATGAATAATGTTTTTTTAAACCATGAGGTGAGTAGTAGTTTGCCAAAATGGTTAGGGTGGTTAGCTCCTTTTGAGAATTGCGTCATTCTAAATACGGATCAGAGTGTTATGGAAGACAAAGCTGGATTTGAGGGTGTGTTGAGGAGTTCAAACGGTGTTTGGATTCATGGTTTTTGTGGAAATGTGGATGACTTTGAGATTATTGGAGTAGAGTTGTTAGACATTCTACAAGGCTTACGTATTGCTCAAAGATTGGGCTTAACAAGAGTTTATTGTCAAACCAATTCTTTTGTTTCAGTAAAGTGGATTCAAGGAGGGGTGTCTCATATGCATCATTATTCAAATTTGGTGCAAGAAATTCGCAAACTGTTGGACAAGGATCGAGAAGTTTCTATATCTCATGTTCTTAGAGAATGCAACAAGTGTGCAAACTATTTTGCAAAATTGGGCCTTGGGTGTCCTGACAGATTAACTAATTTTATGGAGCCTCCTCTGGATGTTATTCCATTGGTTTGAGCGGATGCTGCTGGAGAGCATTTTCTGAGATTCTAGTTTATGTCTTTCTTGTTGCTTGTTGTTTTCTTTCCTTTTGGTATTTTTTAGCATCTTCAACAACAAAAAAAAAAAATATAGTAACTTATACTTTCTTCTTCCTATCTTAAGTGAAACTAAAGTATTATTAAGAAATTAAGGATAATCAATTAAAGAACGAATAAAACTATTATCCTCCCTTTAGTTGTGATCATAAATCAACGACTATGATGAATTTAGTCTTTATTTTATCTTTAGTAATTAAATATGGTTTAGATCTTAGAGCCTCTAATATATTATAAAAGCTATCTTCCAATTAAAGATGTAAATTAATGTAACATTTATATAAAATGAAAAGAAATTTTAGTTAAATGTGTGATCTTATAATTAAAATTTTATTTTTTATATCATAGATTCATTCATTAAATTTAGATTCTATACTAATTTCATCGGATTTTGTTTTGTGGAGGAGATATTTGGAGGGGGTGTATTGGATTAGGATTTTAAAAGACTTTTTTAGTTAAAAAAAATTCTGCAGATTTTAAAAGACTTTACAGGATTTTCATGACTTTTAAGATTTTGTAGGATTCTGCAAGACTTTAAATCAGGATTTTAATGGATTCTGCAAGAATTTTAAACCAGGATTTTAATAGATTTTACGAGACTTTGTGAATTTTGTAAAATTTTCATGGATTTTTGACATACGATAAGATTTCAAAAAAAATTTCATACATTAAAATTTAAAAAAGAGTTAAGGACAAAAATAATAAAAAACAACAATGTCTAGATAAATAATAAAAATAATAATAATAATTATTCATAATATCATATCCTCTTAATAGCATTCACCAACATATACATAGCTATACTAGTGCTCTAAGCATTATCATTTTCTCACTCTTGCTCCTGAGTTTGAATAATAAGCTTAAAAGTATGATCTTCATTAACAGGTAATATTGAAGATGAAGGATCAAATACATTGGCCATTATAAAAAACATGTAAAAATGGAAATATAGAACCGTAAGATAATTTTATATATAAAAACATTAGTATATTCGATACTGAGAAAATATTTAGATATATAAATTTTTTTATATAAACAGAAGTATTTAGATACAGCGAAAATATTTATATATGTATATATATATTAGTATTTTAGTTATATATTATATGATAATTTTTTAACAATGTTTATAAATATAAATTATTTTAACAAATATTTTAACAATATTTTCTTTTTTTAAAATAAGTTAATGGATAAAATTAGATACTGCAATTTCTTATGTTAATTTTTTTTTTAAATATAAAAAATCCTAATTTTACAATATAAAAATTAAAAAAAATTCATAGTAAAAAATAAAATAATTGTTGAGTCACGAAAGGAGGAGGGATAAGAGTAACAAACTCATGGAAAGGAGAGAAATCACAATTTTTATACTGAGAGGGTTTTTCCCTTAACTAAGATCCATTTTCATCTCATTCTACTCATAGAAACTCTAACTCAAAATCATCTTTTATATATGTATATATATATATATATATATATATATATATTATAGAGATCATGATATCAATTTCATCTTTCACTTTTTCCTTTTCTTGACGTGTGTTATAAAAAAAATTATCACTTAAAAGTTAAAATTTCAAGCGTTTTCTTGTGTTATATAAAAGAAAAAAAATTTAAACTAAATAGAATAAAATAGAACAAGTCAATTAAAGAGAACGAAGAGAAAAATAGAGCAAGTCAATGACACTGTCATTTACATATCAGAGTTTCACAAAATAGGGGAATGGAATGGGAACAATACTACAGTATTATATATGAGCAATGAATAATAGTACAATATTATTAGCAAAGAAAAAATGGAGAAGACATAAGTATAGAAGAAAAAAAAAGATAAAAAATTCACTTAAAAATTCTTGAAGCACTTGAAAGGTCACTTCAAACAATCCTCCAAAATCTGATGGGTTTGGATGTGATTGTTTTATGAATTCGGTATTTATAGATAGCACTAGAAAGTCCTTCAAAATTCTTCTGACACAACAATCCTTTAAAATCCTTATATTTTTGAATACCAATGGATTATTTTTAAGTTGTAAAAAATCTCAAACGAATACCAATAGATTTTAATGGACTCTTTAAAAAATTTTGAAAATCCAGATTGAATACCACTTGATTGTTTTTAAGTGACATAAAATCCTGATTGAATACCAACGGACTTTTTTACTTAAAAAAAATCTTTTAAAATCTTATGAAATCCTAAACCAATACACCAATAGATGCTAAATAATTATTTTAACCATATAATAAATGCTGTCAATTTGTTTACATAAATAATAAGAATATACTTAAACATTTATCTTCATATTATTTTTAATTTAAATAACATTTATCTTCACATGTAAAAAGATTATATAGTTTTTGTACTAACCGTACCGAGCAGCCGAGCTCCAAACTCAGCACCACAGCGCGAGCCAACCTCGGACGCGTACTGGACGACGCAGCTCGGTGTTTAGATGAATCACACTGATTCCCGAAGATCTCGCCCCAGACGAGATCCACTATTTAATCATACTATATCTTATCTCAGGCCCAAGGCCCAAGGCCCAAGGCCCAAGGCCCAAGGCCCAAGGCCCAAGGCAACCCTAATTCACACTCAAGTACGTGCATTTCTTATACGAGACTCATACTCATACAAATCCTAACTTTAGCATCGGAGTCTCTTTTACAGGTACCACCCCCATCTTGGAGCACCAGCATACCCGTGAAGGAGGCTCACCGATCTTACCAGGCGGATCAGCTCTACAGCAGATTTCTGGTAAGAACATTTAGCGCCCACCGTGGGGCCGATCAAGACAGCTCTCATCGGCCACCCGTATGGTATTCACCATAAGCCATAATAGACGCGCAACAGAAGACGCAGATCACTCAACTATCATGGACAGCGACGCTGCGACCTTAAGGAGGTTGATCAACCAAGTCGAACAGATACGGCAACAGCACGACGCTAACCTGCGCAACATGCGTGCCCAGCACGAAACTGACCTAGCGGCGATGCGAACCGCCAACGAAGCGGACCTAGCGGCATTACGCGCCGAGAACGAGCACATCCGCGCGCAACTCCCACGACGCCCCATCACCCTCCTCACGAGAGCAACACTCATGAAGACGAAGCGTACTCAGCCTCTCAATCCCGAACTGCAACTAGGGCACGGACCTCACGACCCACCACGCACTGGTCTCATGCGTCGACGCACAAGTCGGGCCACGACGTCAACAGAACACCCACTCATGTCACAGAAGGCCAGGAAACCTTCCGCCGTCACCCTTTTGTGGACGGCATCATGGAGACTCCACTCCCCCGAGGATGGAAGCCTCTGCATCTCGACCGCTATGATGGCACGACGGACCTCGATGAGCACATCAACCTGTATACAACCCAGGTAAACCTCTACACCAACAGCGATGCCATCCTGCGTAGGGTTTTTCTGACCTCGCTTAGGAGAGTCGCACTCCACTGGTACACCCAGCTACTTGCCAGGTCCATAGATAGTTTCAGCACCCTAATCCGACGGTTCACGGCGCAATACGACACAAGCCGACCTTACCACACAACCTCGACCGCTTTGGCCAACCTTAGGCAAATCGATGACGAACCTCTGCGAACCTTCATGGAGTGCTTTTCTAGCATCTCGGTGAGGATCCGGAACTTAAATCCCGAGGTCGCCCTACACTCCATGCTCATGGCCCTTAAAGCCGGCCCATTCGTCGACAGCCTATGCCGGGACCCCCCCCCCCGCGACATGGACGAACTTCGTGCTCACGCAGCCGGATACATCCAGATGGAGGAGCACTTCGCCTTCCATGACCAAGTCCGCGAAAAGGTTCCAGCGAAACCAGAATAAGGGCACAAGGACAAAATCAAAGTCAACAACGACAGCCAGTTCAAGAAGTCGACCAGGGCAAACAAATGGGGGAGATATGACTTCTACACTCCCCTGAACACACCTAGGGTCCACATCCTGGAAGAGGCCAGCAACAGTAATCTCCTCGCTCTTCCACCACCGGGTCACACTCCCAACAGCGCCGACAAGTCCAAGCACTGCCGGTACCACAGGAACCATGGTCACACCACAGAGGAGTGTCGCACGCTCCGGGATCGCATCAAAGAGCTCATCCAAGCAGGTCATCTCGGCCAGTACATCCAGTGACAGCAGGGTAGCAGAGGCGGCTATGGCGGTCGGGGACGGGGCAGGGGCCGTGGCTCGGGAGCTCGTACTAACCCACACCCGAGCTCCCAACAAAATGCTAGCGGTGCAGTACAAGCCGAGATAAGCCAAGAGACAGAGTCGGCTCCCTTACGAGGAGTAATCAACACAATTGCAGGTGGCTTTGCTGGGGGAGGCGCCAGCAGCTCGGCTCGAAGAAGACACCTGCGAAGCATCAACTGCGTCCACTCTACCACCTCAGTACCGCACCAAAGCTCACTGCCGATCTCTTTTTCTGATGAGGACTACGCCGGTATCAGCCCTAACCAAGATGACCCCATGGTCATCGTTGTGGAAATAGCCAACTGGGAGGTGCAGAAAACACTCATCGACCATGGGAGCTCGGCCGACGTCTTGTACTGGCCAACGTTCCTCAAGCTAGACGTCCCCCACTCTCTCATCCAACCTCACACTGAGCCCCTAGTCGGTTTCGCAGGAGAGCGAGTTCACACTCGAGGGTACGTAAACTTACTGACAACTTTCGGAACACCACCGAATACAAGGCGGGTCATGGTTCGGTACCTCCTCGTGGAAGCCAACACTTCCTACAACATCATCATCGGAAGGCCAACCTTGAATCAACTCGGGGCAGTAGTGTCCACCCCACACCTCACCATAAAGTTCCCGGTCATGGACGGTAAAATCATCTCTGTCAAAGCCAATCAGAAAACGGCTCGGCAGTGCTACGCCGAGAGTCTAAAGGTCTCCTCGTCTA